TGGAGTAAACTTAAACAGGTGAAGGGCACAGGTGTGCTGGGCTGGTGTAGAGCCAGGCTGGGACTGAGGTGGCAGGGAAGGAGGGCCTCCCTCACTGACATGGGAAAGAGACTGCAGGGGTGCAGGGCCAAGTCGGGGGCGTCTGAGGGGAGAGTGGCCGGGGCAGAGGCTTGAGGAGCAGCAAAGAACCCAGGTGTGTGGAGCTGCAGAGGGCAGAGAGGAAGGCTGGGGGCCACCGTCTCGCCGGGCCTGTCCTCTGAGTGAGGGCTGAGTCATTTGGGCTCTGATCGGGACACTCTGGCTGGGGCTGCTGTGGAGGTGGATGTAGGGGATCTGGCGGGGAGGCACAGGGCCTGTAGGGAGGTTCTGACTGTCTCCCAGCAGGAGTAGGTGGTAACTTGGGTCAGTGGGGGAGTGGTGGAAGTATAGGGAAGAGACTCGATTCTGAGTGCGTCTTGGCCGGACGAGTGGACGGGGTGCCCTCCGGGATTGGGTGGTGCCCTCTGGGGGAGAGAATGGAGAACTACTGACTTGTGACTTCTGACTGAGCACATGGAGGGGTGGGGCAGCTCCTTCCTGAGAGCTGGGGAGGAAACAGGGAGTGTCAAGACACTGGCACCTTAATATGGTCTGCAATTTGCCTTTCTTTAAATGTGAGTCCACTCCAAAGATTTTCACATGTGTATTCTCTGTTTATATTGGCTCAGGTATTTGTAAGTAACATTCAGACCAGGTGACAGGGAGCCAGGAATCCATGCTCCCCCGAAACAAGGCCCGCAGCCCTTGTCAGAGCACGAAGACACCTGCCTTAGAGCAGGGCTCTCGTAAAGCTCTGGCTCTTGGTCCAAGTGCCTGTTCCTTTGCGTCGCTCAGGACGGGCATTTGGCCTGGGGAGGAGGGCGGTGGACACAGGGGCCTGTGTGGAGAGCTGGCTTTGAGCAAACAGCACAGAGAGCATGGAAGGCAGCCGGTGTGCCTGGGGCCGTCGTGTGCTCTTCGTTTGTATGGCAGGCATCGTGCCCTTTTGCTCCCTAAGTCAAAAAGGGAAAAAAAAAAGCTCCTTAATGAGAGGGTTGAAAAGTGTGTGCATGTGTGAACATAGAGTTACCAGGTGACACCGGATGCCAGGTGTGTGTGTGTGTGGGGGGGATTGCATGGATGCACAGCATGGTGACTCAAAGTTTCTGAGGTGTCCTTTCTTCCTTGACTGGTGGTCTCGAGGGCAGAGGTGCATGTAGTGAAAAGCTGGCCCGGTGGGAGTGGTGGGCCTTGTGGGGAAGCGGAGTCCACGTGTGCTTCTCCTTCAGGCCTCAGAAGTGACCGCATGGAGATGGGAGGGCCTGTGGCCGCAGAGCTGCGGTGACAGCTGGCCTTCCCCAGCCCAGAGCTGGGCCCCCGGGGGCCGAGTACTCCCGACTGAGCAGACAGGAAGTGAGAGGTTGGGTCCTGAGTTCCCACGTGTGAGGTAGCAGCAGTGGGTGCCCAGCGCCCTCGGAGCAGGCCCAGCTTGCCCTGCCCCACCTCAGAGCAGGAGAGGCTCCGCATGAGGCAGGTGGTCTTGGGGTTTTCTCTGCAGTAATAAAATTTAGAAGCTTTTCTGTGGTTTAAAGCAGTCTTCCAATCCTCGTATTGTGAACACTTTTTAACAGTAGAAAGTTGACAGAATAGTTACCCACATACACACCCCTTGATTGAATATATGTTTTGTCGTATCTGCTCCATCACCATGTATATGTATTTCATTTTTCTCTGAACGACTTGAAGACACATTGCAGACATGAAGTCTCACCCCTAAATATTTCAGTACGCACCTGAGCAGTGACCATGCAGTTCCGTTTTCATGTTGGCCTGGCCATCAGGGCTTGTGGCAGTGTCTGGGGTGTTTGGGAGCACGCGTATAGACGGACGGGCCTTTCATCAGAGCGCCTTGGCTTGTGTCCGTCCTCACTCCCTGCGTTAGCCCACTTCCTTATTTCTAGCCTCAGAATTTTAAAAAATGTGTTGTGCACCATCCCAGTTCCCGAAAAGGAATACAGACAGACCGGCCTGTCCGTTCTCCCGTGTCGCTGTGCCCTCATTCCTGCCCGCCCCCCGCCCCCAGAGCCCTGTCGGCCTGCGCTCCTCATGCTCCTCGATGCTACGGTGTCCTTGACCCTGGACAGTACTGAACACATTCTGCATATTTTTAAACTTGCTATAATTCTTTTTGGTCCTCATCTACAAACAGGCTGCTGTTAACTCCCTCATACAGTTAAATGAGGATAATGTATGTGTGAATTCCTGGTCCTGAGCTGGCAGGGAGTAGAGATTCAGTAAGGACTATTTTACTCTTAACCTAATAGGCGTTGAGAAAACAGTTGTGGCTGTTAAAATGGGCAAATAGTCAAGTTGGCAGGGAAGTGGATGCCCCCTCCCCCCACCTGCTCAGGTGCAGTTTACTTACAGTCCAGCTCGTCCTCTGAGAATCTTGGGCTCTTTCTAGGGCAGGAGAACATCTCTGAGGCCTCAGGGCTCCTCCTTCTTGGCACCTGTCAGGAACTGAGGCAGCCACTCCCCCGGTGGCTCAGGCTGTGTCGGAGTGTGGCCTGGCCCCCGACGCCCTCCTCCAGCCTTTGTGCCTTCCCTACCTTGTCCAGCCCAGGGACAGCTCTGTGCATGCACCCCCTAGGACGTGCCTCCCTCGTTTTGAGCAGCCAGTCTGTGGAACTGCAGAGGATATTGCAGAGAATAGACAAAGCCGAGTGCTGGGGCTGGGAGGAGGCCAGGGTGGCCGACTCGGACGCCTTCAGGGAGCTTTCTGCTGGGCTCAGAGTACTTTGTTGTTCTTTTTGCCATGCTCGGCCACCCGTCCCGGCCCCGGTGCCTGCCAGGAACTGCTCAGGGTCCCTGCATCGGCCAGTGGCATCAGATAAGTCATGCGAACCGGTGGGACTAAGACATACTTGGGAACACAGTGGGAATTTGGTAGGTCGGGAGAAGCTTCCAGATGAAGACATCGCCTAAGGGCACTTCACACTCGCTTCTGCTCCTTGCCCAGGGTTCTGTGGGGCTGATCATCTGCCCGCGGCTTCTCATGCCAGCGCCGAGACATCATCAGGGGCCTGGCCCCCAAGGAGTGAATTAGCAACATGCACCTGCCCCCCGTCCCACTGCTACCTTCTGTCCCCTGGCACATTTGAGCATGAAACCCACTTGGTATGAAGTTACAGTGGGTTCACTGCTGGGGAGGCCTATCTCAGGGGCTGATGGCCAAGTGGCCTGGGCCTGCAGAGCACCACAGTGGCGCTAGATGGCACCCCCACCCAGGGGCCTCCAAACAGGTGGGAAGACTGGAAATGAAAGACACAGCATAGCCAGAAGGGACCTCACTGAGGATGGGAAAGTAAATTTACCAAAGGGTTTTTTGTTTTTCCCAGAAATCTGGAATCCAGAAGGCATTTGCATTTCCTACATGAAACATATGTGGAGGTCATGTTAGAAGGCAGGAGGGCTATTCTCAGGGCAGACCCACAGGCTGGTTTATTTATGAGTTTTCTAACATTAATGTGCCAGAGAGGCCTGGAATGGTTATAAAGGAGCTCTCATCGATGTGGTGCAGCCCAGCCGGTCACTTTACAGAGGGAACATCGGTACCCCAGAGCCACTCAGCAAATGAGAACCTGGACTTTGACTCACAGACTTTTGTTTTCCCCCTCTGGTCTGGCTTGGGCCAGGCCTGGTCCGGAAGTACTGGGGGCTTTGGGGAAGTCAGAATGGTCTTCCAGAGCTTTTTGGTTTTGGGATTTAGTGTTTCTAGAGATCCGTGTCAGCATCTTCCTGTACCTTAACTCCTTTTAATCCCATCTCACATGGGATGTTTGCTTGGAGCTCTGAGGTGAGACGGGGTCTCAGGTTTCAGTGGGGCGCAGAGCGTGCTGTCGGCTCTGGCTAGGAGCCCACGTGGAAGGTATTTGCCAGCCCTGTGTGGAGCCCGAGCCTGGGCAGGAACTCGCAAGGCTCAGCCTGTTGCCTGTTCCTCCTGGGCATCATGGGTGTCGAATATCATGGAAGCCCGTGAGATGGGACCCTGCCCATCTTCTCCCCCGCCGTTGCTGCTGCCGCCTGCGTCCCAGGTCTGTAGCTTGCTGGGGCTGGGTCCACATAAGGACGGGGGTTCCAGGCTGCCGTGGCCCACCGTGCCCAGCTGCCCACATCCTCAGAAGCGCTATAGGCTCTCCCTTCCTCTTCTGAACACTGCTTTAGAAAGGAAATTCTTTGTGGGCAGGAGAACCTGGAGTTATATCCTCGTTCAGTGGCCAGCGCCTTGCAGCAACCCGAGTGAGGTGCGACGTCCACAGATGCTGATCAGACTCCTGGTGCCACCGCCTTTCTTTCCTTGAGTAGGGTTCCCTGTCAGATCCCCCTCCTCGCCTGAACCGTGTCAAACGGGTTCCTCCCTCTCCTTGTTGCCCGAGTGCTTTGGGGGGCGAGGGGTAGTGTGCTGACACGGCACCGGCCCGTCTGCACAGGGCTCTTGGTGTGTGGGGGCTGCGGCTGCCTGGGGCAGTGGGGCGGGGGGCGGGGGCAGCCTGCGCCTTTGTGGGTACGGGAAGGGCAGGGCAGGGGAAGGCGGCCGGAGGTGGCTTCCTGCGCAGTTCAGGCCCTCGAGGTCAGCGGCACCCCGAGCCGGCGTGGGTGTGGAGCGCGGAGGGGAAGCGAGGCCGCGGCCCAGGGAGCTCGGCCACGCGGAGGGCAGCCGCGCCCCGCTTCCCGCCTGGGCCGGCGGCGTCGGGGGCGGGATGGGGGGCGGCGGAGGGCGGGGCGCGGCGGGGTCGCCTCCTTCCTCCGCCCCGGGCGGCCTGAGTGGCTGGAGCCCGCGCCCCGCCCGCCCGCCGTCCCCAAGGCTTCCGCTGCGGCGCCTCCCCGGGAGTCCGGGGCCGCCGGCAGCCCGCGGGGCCCGAGCAGCTGCCGCTGAGCCGGTAAGCAAGCCGGGGGCCCGGGCCGGAGCCGCCCTGGAGGGCCCGGGCCTCTGAGCGCCCAGCCCGGTCCCCTGCCCCGCGTGGCGGGTCACCCGGCCGGCTGAGCTCACTTCCGCCGCGTCCTGCAGCGTCTCCTTCCCCGAAAGCTTCGGGGCTGCCGGGGCGGGGGGAGAGGACATCGGCCCCCAGGGCACCCGGAGGTGGTGCGCCTGCCTCCATGTCACCCCCGAGGGGGCGGGCAGGGAGTGACGGGCTGGCCTCCGCGGAGCCCCAGCCCCCTGGTGCGGGACGGTCGTTCTCCTCTCCCCCGGGAGGCTTGAGGGAGACCCCTGCCGCGCCCCCAGCCGCCCTCCCCCGCGCCCTTCTGGCTGCTTCCTCTTCTGTCCAGGGTTCCCCAAGATGGCTCACCCAGCCCACAGGGAGAGACCATTTTCCTGGGTCCCTGCTTCTGAAGTTCCATCTGCTTCTAGCCCTGGAGCGTGGGGGACCCTCTGTCCACAGGGAGAGCTTGCTGGGCACCCCTGCCCCGCCTTCCCCGCTGTGGCGGAGACTCAGACCGTCCAGGGCCGCCCCCCGCCCCCCACCGTGGTCGCGGGCCCCGTAACGTTCCATCCCACCGAGGGTGCCGGGGCCCTCGTCCTGGGCCGTGAGGCGTGGGTGGGGACTCGGCGGCACTCGGGTGTGAGCCCCCAGGACAGCGTGTCCTGACAGGTGACTCCCGCCACGTGGTCCTGTGGGCCGCTGCTTCCTACTCGCAGGGTGGCCTCTGCCCCTGGGGTCTGGGCTCTTTCAACACTGCTCCCCACCCCGTGCTCCCATCTTCCCGGTGGTGGCAAACTTCTGTCCCCCCAGAGTGTGGGTCTGGAAAGGGAGGTGAGGCTCTGGGAGCCAGGGGATGGGGCTACACCACGCTCTTGGGTGAAGTGGGGCATGAGGTTTGGAGCCGAGCTGTTCGGGCCATACTTGCAGTCATGACTCGGGCCTCTAGGGGATGAGGGAGGTATGGCCTTTCCCATTTTCCAGATGAGGAAACTGAGGCCGAAGGAGACTGATGACTTTCCCAGCTTGGTGGGGCCGGGGGCAGCCAGGATTGCAGTGACCAGATTGTCCCTGTCCCCCACCAAAGCCAGTCTTGAGTTTTCACGTTGCGTGTGGCAGATCTTTAGACCGTGTGGTGACTTTGATGTCTGACTGGTCGCAGCCCAGAACTTGCCTCCACAGAGTGTCCTTGAGATTCTTGGTAGAGAGGGAAGGTGTCTGTACTCCCCTGCTTCCGGGTGCCCTCCTGTGCGCGTACCTCATCCAGGCCTGCGCCCCCTCTCCCACCGCAGTGGTGCTTGGGGCCAGAGAGGGAGAAAGCCCTGGCCTGAGCTCCAGGGGCCGTGGCCGTGCAGTCGGCAGGCGGGGCTCCGAGATGAGGAGGCTGGGAACCCTGCTGGCCAAGGAAGGGGTCCTGCCCTCCAGGGACCCTCTGCCCTACATCCTGCAGCTCTGAGCTGGACCGCGGGCCCAGCCAGTTCCCTGGGGAGAACTGAATTCACGTCTGCTCTCTGGGGACCCCGGGGCCCTAGGTGGAGCCTGGCAGCCTGGTCTCAGGGTCCTGATTCAGCAGAGGAGGTGGGGCAGCCTGGAGACACTGAGGGGCGAGGACCTCCTGCCAGAGGCTCCTGGAGGCTTTCTGGGTGGTCCCCCTTGAGCTGTGGGAGGAGGATTGAGGGGCTGCGCTGCCCTGGGGGGGCTGTCTGGCCTGGCCAGGCCCCTGGTTTGCAGGCCCCTTGGGGGGAGGATGAAGTTCAAAGGCACACATACAAATCTGCTCTGAGGCCCTGAGGTTTGGGGCCGTCTGGGCCCCTGACCGCACCTTTCTGGTGGTGTGCTGTGGCCAGTCACTGTCACACATGGTAGGACAGTGCGGAAAACCGGCAGGGGCTCCTCCCCTCCACAGAGCCTCATTGACCCCCACCGTGAACCTCGGCTGCGTGCTCAGTCCCAGCATTCCAGGGTTTTTAGAGACGGGAAAGAACCTGGGAGCCAGGGGCCAGGCCCAACCCCAACTGCCTGCCACCCCTCCTGGCCTGTTTTCCCTGGGGAGCTGGCAGGAGGCCAGTGTGGGGCCCATGGTCTGACCGGCCAGGGAAAGGCGGGGTGGGGTGCTCAGTGCATCGCTGATACGGTTGAGGCAATCCGACTGTCCTGGACCGGAAAAGTACACAGGAGGCTTAGCAGGGCCTGGGGCAGGAGCAGGGGTGCCCGTGAGGCCCCGGGCCTGGCAGGAGAAGGCTAGAGGCTTGTGCATACATCTGCTGCTGGGTGAGGCCTGGTGGGGGGCCACCTCCCATCCGTGAGCTGTGCTGCCACTTGGCCCGGAAAGTGTCCTGGGGAGTGGCTGGAGGGGTCAGGACCCACCATTTCCTCAGTCGGGAGCAGATGTCTGTGCTTGTGGTCAGCCTTGGCCCAGCTCCCCCAGGCCACTGCACACCCAGGGATTCATCGACTCCCCAGGGAGCAGCCAGGGCTGCGTTCTTCCCTCTGTGGCTTGAGGTGGGTTCGCCGGGGTGTCAGGTGTTCCCCCTTGCGTGGTGGAGTCTTGTCTGGGTTGGGGCCTGATACTCTGTCACAGTGCGTTGGCCGTGCCGGGGTCCTCGGCTGCGTTGCTCCTCTGCCTTAGGAGCAGTTCTTGGGACCTGCCTTTCTTTGCTGAAGGTGGCAGCAGATACCTATGTCCTCTGCAGCCTGCAGTTGGGGTTGGAGGCCAGGCCGTGGTGCATCCTCCCCCCAGGGCCCTGATAAGGCCCGAGCTGAGACAGCAACAACTGTGGCATGTTTGTGCTCTGTCCCTGTTATCTGTGCGGGTGGCCTGAAGGGCTTTGTGGAGGCCGGGTGTGTCCTGATAGCCAGGCAAGCCGCTGCCCGCTGGCCCCTGGGTTGCTCCGAAGCAAAGATGGCCGGGGAACAGCCTCTCATCTCCACGCCTGTTTCCATTTCCTGAGGTCACCCCAGTGCTCATCTTCTGAGGAGGCCTTTGGGGGTGTTAGTGCCAGAACTGGGAGGCCTAAGGCTGGAGAATGGAGCAGGTCAGACGCCCAGGGTCCCACACACTGTCTTTCTCACCTTACCTCCCCCTCGTTCCTCAGATGCTGCTTTGTTACCTCAATGGAAAGTGGGTCAGGTCCTGGCAAGGGAGGGGCTGCTTGAGCCACAGACGGGAGGAGCGCCAGGCTCAGATTCCCTCTGGTGCTCCAGAGGCGTCTGGTCCCCTCCGTGCCAGTGTGGGCAGGTGGCCAGGCCTGGGGACAGAGAGGGCTGAGAGCAGGGGCTTGTGCCGCAGGCCCAGACAGGTGTGTGACTGGTGCCTGTCTTTGCAAATAGCCCCGACCCTCTGACCTGTACCCTGGGAGCTACCGGGACGCAACCGAGCCCGGAAGTGGTCCCCCAGCCCCCGGGCAGCCTGGCAGAGGCCGAGCCTGCAGAGCGGTGACGGCCCAGGAGCCCCTCCGGCAGGGGAGGGAGGAAGGAGGAGAAACAAAGGCGAGCGGGCCTGGCGCCGCCCACCATGTGTCAGTCAGAGGCGCGGCGAGGACCGGAGCTCCGAGCGACGAAATGGTGAGATGCTGCCCGCAGCGTCCTAACCCCTCTGTGCCTCGCCACGACCTCCGGAAGGTCAGAGTTCACGTCCAGCGGCCCCGCGGTGGAGGTGGTGGCAGGGGTCCGGGGGATCAGCCCCCGCCGCTGGAGGGGCCCGGCCCCAGGGGCCTGAGTCGGAGAGCCCGCTTCAGGTACTGGGGGGGAGGGGGGCAAGCGGGCCAGGGGCCTGGTGGTGGGCCTGTCGCTCCCAGGCCCCTTTGCCCAGCCCTGCCCACTCAGGGAGGGGGTGCAGCTCCCCAGGACTGGTCCTTCTTCCGCGGGAGGGGAGCCCCTGGGGCGCAGTGATTTGTCCAGCTTTTCTTGGCCCCCTCGCACCTTCTTGGCCTTTTAAAACAGTGCGGGGGATGGGAGACAATGAGGGCAGGGAGCTCAGGAGCTGTGGTGTTGGTGCAGGGCCCAGCCATCAGCGCGGTTCTCCATTTTTTCTGCTTTTAGTATGGGTTGAGATGCCGCTTTGTCCCTTGGTTTGTTCCACAGCTGAGGGCGGAGGACAGAGCTTCTCTGAGTGCAGACGGGGGCCTTATAACCCGGTTGAATGCAGGCTTTTTGCAGATATGGAAACTGAGGCCTGGGGACATTCTCAGACTGGGTGGTAATGTGGTCTCCTTATGACTGCGCTGGGGCCTCAGCATTTTCTAGGGCCTTGGCATGCGGCAAAGGGAGGTGGGCCTCACTGTTGTGCCCCAGGAAGCCACAGTTCTGGTGGGAAGGCTTAAGAGACCCCTGCGAGCCCAGGCCTGTCACCTTTGCTGAAGCAAGGGGCTTTGCTCAGGTGTGTGGCCCCAGCAGCCCTGGGAGGTGGCCTGAGGGTTCAGGGGGTTCCTACGCTAACTTGGATTATTGGTTTTGGAGAACCTGACTGGCGGTAGAAAGACCACGCTGACGGAGCAGGAGCTGCTGGGGGTGGGCGGTGCATGCGGGCATGTGTATGTTTGTGCGTTTTCCTTTTTAGCTTTGTCAGGCCCAGTCCTTTAATTTATTAGATGAGGAACCAAGGCCCGGAGCCCTGAGGGAACGGGGGACGGGGCGGTAGTAACAGCTGCCCTTCTGCTGTCAGTTCTCCCCAGGAGGGTGGGGGCTGCCAGCAGGGTCTGCATCTGCCCCCCGGGGCTTTGCCCAGAGCCAGGGCCCCTCCCACCTTCAGAACCCCCTCCGCCAGAGAGGTGCCAGGAGTTGGGCCTCACCCGCTGCCCCCAGTTCCCACCAGTCTTCGGAAGAGGGGCAGGCGGGGAGACAGGGAAGTGAGTGTGCCGACCACACGCAGCCACGCCCGACTGGGTCAGAGTGGGGCTGGGGCGAGGGGCACGGCCAAGGCTGCGAACTCCGCAGAGAGGTGGGCTTGCTGCGGGCGGGTGGGCAGGACGGCGCTGCTCGGGGCGCGGTGGGGCTCCCTGGGGACCGCGGACCCTGGGCTCTGACGCTGGCCGTGCGGGGGGACATGTGCCCCGCAGGTTGCACTTCCCCCAGCTGGCCCTGAGGCGGAGACTGGGGCAGTTGAGCTGCATGTCCAGACCCGCCCTGAGACTGCGCTCCTGGCCCCTGACGGTGCTCTACTACCTCCTGCCCTTCGGCGCCCTCAGACCGCTCAGCCGGGTGGGATGGAGGCCTGTGAGCAGGGTGAGTCCACGGCAGGCCTGGGGCTGGGGCCCGGACGCGGAGGCGGGGGTCATCGGATGAGAGGAGAGGGCTGTGGGGGCTGAGCCCTCGGAGGGTCGCGCCGAGAGGCCAGGCTGGTCGGTGCCACGTGGGCTCCCTGCCCGCTGTGCTCCCCTTGCCTGCATTCATGCCATTTGGGGCTCTGCTTCTGGAAGGAGCCCACACTGGACATTCAGGAAATGGAGTATGACTGATTTTTCCTGCATTCCGGCAGGAGAGAACTTATAAGTGCTTTTGAGAGGAATCCAGAATAATTCCTGGCAGCCAGAGGGTGGTCCAGGCAGGCTGGGGCTTCTCTGGGCCCCTCAGGATGAAGATGCCTTAGTAGACCTAGGGGCCCCGGGCCAGGCTGCGCCCTCCCCCTGGAGGGCAGGCTCCCTCGCCCCGGGCTCTCTGGGCAGGCTGACCCCAAGGAGGGAACTGTTCCGGGCGCTGGACATTAGAGCACAGTGGCCCTGGGCTGCTGCATGGAACCACCAGCTCGGTACTTCCTCATACAGGTGTTTAAAGTCGGAATGAAATTACTTCTGCCCCTTGGGGACTTGGTGTCTAGGTTGTGCTCAGACAAGCAGCAGCTGCCGATTAGAGGCAGGTCCCACTATGGCAGTGGCTCCTGAGGTTTAAGAGGCTGCCCCTTCCAGGTCGCCTGGCCCTGAGAGTGTGCAAGAGGCCCCAGGGGGCTGGTTCCCCTCTGCCTCCTGGGAGGGCAGGCGCAGACAGCTCTGCGGACTGGCCCCGTCACGGGACGCCCAGGAGTGCTGGCCTGGAGGACCCCTACGGCGCGTGATGCGCAAGTCCTGGCACTCCTGTGGGGAGTTCTCCCTGCTTCCTGTAGGACACGGAGGTGCATTTTGGGCTGAACACTTCCCTGGGGGGCATGTGCGTGCCGCCTTCTGCCCCAGCCTCTCTCTCAGGGTATCAGACCCATTTACCACCCCACTCCACTCCCTTCAAGAGGCGAGCCTGCCGACTAGTCTCCTCTGCGACTGGGGTGGTCGCTTTCTTTCTCTGCATAAAATAACTGAAACACTCAAGTTGTGAGTCACTGTGTCATGGCCTCGGCCGGGACTCAGTTTGTGAGAATCCCTGGCAAGCTCAGTCTGGTTCCTAGTGAGAAACAGCCACATCATATGGCCATCGTGGGTGCCCACAGTGGGGGTCAGTGACTGGGGTGCGGGTGCACAGCATGACAACACTGTGCCTGCCCGTGGCCTGCAGGTGGCCCTGTATAAGTCGGTGCCGACACGCCTGCTGTCACGGGCCTGGGGCCGCCTGAACCAGGTGGAGCTGCCGCACTGGCTGCGCAGGCCTGTCTACAGCCTGTACATCTGGACCTTCGGGGTGAACATGAAGGAGGCGGCCGTGGAGGACCTGCACCACTACCGCAACCTCAGCGAGTTCTTCCGGCGCAAGCTGAAGCCGCAGGCCCGGCCTGTCTGTGGCCTGCACAGCGTGGTGAGGCCCCACCCCGCCTGGCACTGCGCCCTTCAGAGATGCAGTTCTTGCCTCTGCCTTTGGGGACTGGTCCCAGCACCAACCCGGGTGGCCCGGTGGGTGCTCCTCCCGGGCCAGGCCCCCAGGGAGGAGGTGGCCCCGCCTGTCCGCCTTCAGAAACAAGCATCTCCTGGCCCTTCCAGATCAGTCCGTCAGATGGGAAGATCCTCAACTTTGGGCAGGTGAAGAACTGCGAGGTGGAGCAAGTGAAGGGGCTGACCTACTCGCTGGAGTCCTTCCTGGGCCCGCGCGCCGCCCTGGAGGACCTGCCCTTCCCACCAGGTGGGTCCTCGCCCGGGCACAGCGTGGCTGCGCTGGATGGGAGCAGACGGGAGTGGGTTGGCCAGAGGGCCTGGAACCACAGCCTGGAGCCCGGGGGCTTCCCTGGAGCCCGTGTCCGCCACAGGCTCTGCTGAGGGCGTCAGGTGTTGTCTGAGAGCTGGGCTGTCTTGTCTGCCCCCATAGCTGCCCCCTGCGGCTCCTTCAGGAACCAGTTGGTCACCCGGGAAGGGAATGAGCTCTACCACTGCGTCATCTACCTGGCCCCCGGGGACTACCACTGCTTCCACTCCCCCACTGACTGGACTGTTGCCCACCGGCGCCACTTTCCAGGTAGGCCAGGGCCCACATGTGGGTGGGAACTACCTCCCTGGGCCTCAGACAGGCCTCCTTCGCTTCTTGGTGTCAGGCTGCAGATTCGGGCTGCTGAGCCTGGGAGCCGACTTCTTGTCCTTCTGGGAGTGGGCAGTGGGGTGCAGCCTGGGGTCCAAGCACCTCTGCACTAGGAGTGACATGGGGGTGACACAGGCTCTGTGAAGCTGGTCCTCTGCTGGGTGGGCAGTGGCAGTGTCCCTGGCCCCACAGGCTCCCTGATGTCTGTGAACCCTGGTGTGGCCCGCTGGATCAAAGAGCTCTTCTGCCACAACGAGCGGGTCGTCCTGACCGGGGACTGGAAACATGGCTTCTTCTCACTGACGGCCGTGGGGGCCACCAATGTGGGCTCCATCCGCATCTACTTTGACCGGGTAAGCAAAGTCCAGGTCCTGCTGACACCCAAGTTCTGGGCCACTTGGGTCACCTGCCCCATCTCCTGTGCAGGCAGATCTGTTGGGACCATAAGTCCAGGCCTGGCTCTGCTTGCAGCTGCCCCAGGAAGGGCCTGGGCCCTGAGCTCCTGTGCTGCATGGCCCTCGCCCTCTCCCCACCCCCCATGCCCCGTCCGGAGGGGGAACTGACTGCCCTTTGCTTCTGCCTAGAACCGAAGGGGACTCTTGAGCTTGGGCAGGGCATGCTGACTGGGGGCCGAGGGGCAGGGCCTTTCTTGGTGTTGGGTTGACTGCCCCTTGCCTGCTGGGTCCTGGGGAAGAGAGGTCTGACTCCTCCGTGCCCTTCAGGGGCCCAGTTCACAGCTGGGGTCGAGGACTGTGCCCAGTTAGACCCAGCCCATGGGCTGAGTCATTGTCCCCACCTCCCTTCCTGCACTGGGTCAAGACAGACAGCAGAGGCGTGTTCAAGGTCCAGGGAGCAGGACTTGACACCCACTGCCCCCTGGCCCCCAGGACCTGCACACAAACAGCCCACGGTACAGTAAGGGTTCCTACAATGACTTCAGCTTCGTGACGCACGCCAATAAGGAGGGTGTCCCCATGCGCAAGGGCGAGCACCTGGGCGAGTTCAACCTGGGCTCTACCATCGTGCTCATCTTCGAGGCCCCCAAGGACTTCAACTTCAAGCTGAAAGCAGGACAGAAGATCCGATTTGGGGAAGCCCTGGGCTCCCTCTAGAGCCTACTTCCTGGCTGCAGCTGCTGAGGGATCATTTCTACAGAAATGGGAGGGACTTTTTGAGGGGAACCTCCACAGCTGTCCAAGGGAGGGGGGACTGTCTCAGGGCTGTGGGGTCAGACCAGGCAGGACCTGGGTGGCCTCTGTCCTTGCTGACCCAGAGATGCAGACAAGGTCAGAGGTCCTGTCATGCCCTCGACCTACCTCATCCCCTCTTAAGAAAGTACAGGCCAGGATGAGCTCAAATTCCCTTTTGGAGATTTTAAACCTGTTGATAAACTGGAGGCCCTGCATCTCCTGGCTGTCAGTTGGTCTTGATTTCTGTTCTAAAACAAGTGGTTATGCCTCCCTGCTGCTCCTCCATCACTGTTTGGCCAACTCTCCGTCTCCCCTGCACAGGGTGAGGTGCCTCCCGGCACTGACTGGGCCCATGCTGTCCCCTGAGCGGGCTGCACAGCCTTTAATGCAGCCGCTTTCTATTCCCAAATACACCCCATCCTGCTTGTTGAGAAAAGCTGTCTTTCCTCTTTGCACTTGTGCCTGATGGCATCACCCTGGCTCTGCCCACATCTTCTGAGGCTGGTATCTAAGGGTGTGGCGCTTCGCAGGCCCCAAGGAATGACCTCTCAGAGCTGGCGAGTCCTCTTCCAGGAAGTGAGACCAGTTCCTGAGCCCAGGTGGATGGTATTCGGGAGTGGGGCCGGCAGATCGTGGGGCCCCGCTGGTGCCAGGGGCAGTCTTCAGTCCCCTCCCTGATTGCGAACTATATAAAATAAGGGAATGTTGCTGCTATTGATCCAAGGACTTGTGTTGGAGGCAGAAGAGCCTTGGTGTGTTGAGGCGGGGGGGTGGGTCATTGCCTAGAAAACTTCTCCCCTGGCAACAGGTACATAGTCAGTGGGGAGACACTGATGGCGGGGACAGGGCCAGGTTTCATATTTCCTGGGGATGCTGTGAATTTCTCCTGCAGGAGAAGCCATTGAACTTTTTCAACTGTATCAGTAGCACAGTATTTTGTATGAAAAGTGGAAGACTTCTGAACAGTAATTCATTTAATTGCAACATTTTGAAATAAAACAATAAAACTCAGTGCAGCCTTGCATTCCATTCTAAAGGTGGCTGGGGCCTCACGGCGGTGTGGCTCTAGCACAGAGCCTGCCGCAGGGCCTGGATGCGGGCAACGCAGGCACTGGTGGGCTGGCGCTGGGCCTGGAGCTTGGACTCCAGCTGCCGGATCTGCAGTTCCACCTGGGGCCGGTGGGGGGGGGGCGGGGGCAGAGCTGAGAGGAAGCACAGCCCCAGGGGGGCGGGGGTGGGGGGTGTGCGCCTCACCTCCTGCAGCTCCTCCTGCACCCGCTGCGCCGCTTCCTGGTCCTCAAGCCCGGGCTCCTCCTGACTCAGCTCCAGCCACCTGCGCAGGCTGCGCGCTTGCCGCTGGCAGGACCTGAGGGGGCGAGGCACAGGCTACCCACCTGGCCGCGCCTTGGCCTCCGGGAGAAGCACATCAGCTACTTCTGATGTGAGTGGAGGGAGGAGGGTCGTCCCTGTCCCTTGCCCAGCAGACGGTCTGGACTCCAGTCTGTCCCTCTCCCCACTGACCTCTAGGCTGTGTGCCGAGGGCCCCTGGCCTGCACGTGGGGGAATGCAGGCTCTGGGCCAGACCACAGGCGGCAGGACCCTGGGTCACAGTCACCACCGTTGGGTAGACCCCAGTCCTGGTTTTCACATGACCCAGTCAGGCTTAGTTTCGCTCAGCCTTGTTCGCCGCCCCACAGTGAGGACAGCCTGGGCCCTCCCAGCAGGACAGCAGCCGTGTGGCCGCTCCCCCCCGCCCCCTCCCCCGGGGCCCTTGGCAGCCGGCCCTGGGGAGAGCTGCGTGCCGGGCTTACCGGAGGTTCTGCTGTGTGGTCCGGTGATCCTGCAGTTGCTGCCGGATGCCCTCAAGCTCAGCCTCCAGGTCAGAGTGGCCCAGGGCAACAGAAGGAGCTTGCGCTGGCCCCCCTTCCCTGCAGGGCCCAGGCTGAATGGGGGGATCCCAGGCGCCAGCAGAGGCCCCAGTGCCCACGGGCCTCAGGGGTGTGTCTGCAGCATCGGAGCCAGAGCTGGGCTCAGGCCTGGTGCCTGTGAAGTCCCCAGGGAGGAGCAGGTGGGAGTCGGGGACACTGGCCAGGGGTAGAGGGGCCTGGGGCCTAAGCCCAGGGGTGGTCAGCCATGCTGACAGCTGTAAAGAAAGGATGGACACAGAGAAGGGCTGGAGAGGGGCCACTGAGGCCACCCACTGCGGGTGGGCAGGAAGGGACCAGGCTAGGCCCCAGGAGCCGGGCTGCCCCCACCTCCTGCAGCCGGCTCCCCAGAGCCCGGCCCCATGCCTTCCCTCAGGACCCGACACCAAGAAGGACAGTCTCACAAGCAACCTAAGGGACACCCCACACCTCTGCTGTCCAGTCCCACCCCTTCCCCAGAGCCTGGCTCGGCACCATCCTGAGTAGCTTTCCAAGCCTACTGACCTTTCACACCTGCCTCTGTGTACTTGCACTTCAGTGAGGAAAGTGGTCAGTGGCTATTGTCCTTGTCCAACGGCACACCTACACCCTTCTCCAGTCCCTCCTGGTGATAACGGGCAGTGGGCCTTGTCCTGCCACCAGCCCCACCCCACTCCCTGCTCAGGTCACAGCTCTTCAGGCACCAGCGTCTTGGTGGCCCACCCCTGCTGACACTCCTTCCTCGTACCCGCCTGCCCACACTCCTTGTGGATGTCACATGTCCCAGGAGCCCTGGCCCCTTCCCCAGGTGACCCCATTAGTTCCCAGGGGTTTGCCTACAACCTTGCTACAGATCCTCAGTTTTTATCTCCAGCCCCGACCTCTTCCCTGAAGGCCAGACTCACTCCTGTGGCTTCACCTCATACCTGAAAGGCTTAAGGCAAGCTCTTCATGCTTCACCCCGTTTTCCCTTTAGGAAAAGAGCCCGTAATTCCCTGAGTTACTCAGGCCAGAAGCCCTGGAGCTGTGCTGGAGCCTCCTTTCCTCCTACCAACCCCCTCAGAGGAGTCCTGCCTGCCTGGCCTCCCGCAACGGCCCCTGCCCACATCTGCAGCCACCACCCAAGTCCCAGCCACCAACCCCTTCCACCTGACCGTCAGATCACTGCAGCCAACCATCCTGCACAATTTCCTATTCTTAAAACCCCAACTTTCACCAGGGCATGCACGACCCTCTGACCTGCTCTCTTCATCCGTGTCCCCACCCCTAGGGTATAAGCTTCACGAGCAGGGGCCTTGGCGGGCTTTTCACTGCTGGGTCCCTCGGACAGTGGCACCCACACTTGGTGAGTGAAACTGTGCCTTCCCTGCGTCTTCCACAGCCAGGAGTGCTCCAGACACACTGAGTACGACTGGCTACAGCACCGAGGCCCAAAGAATGCCCCAGGCCACCAGGAGGACCTACCCCGGCAGGTGCTTCTGCCCCATGCAGCATGAAGGAGGCGGGAGGCAGCAGCTCTGGGCCTGGGTGCACTGGTGGGGGCAGCTTCGGGCCAGGGGACCTCGGCAGGGCCTCGGGAGGGGGCAGGGCGCTGCCCGGGGCCAGTGCTGCCCACGCCTTTGCCAGCACAGGCCTCGTCAGGGAGGGCCCTGCCAGCTGGGCCGGACCCAGGTTGTGCTCCCATGGCACCTCAGACCTGAGCAGAGGGAAGGCAGGAGAGGGTCAGCGCTCCCAGGGAACAGGAAAGGGACACCCACCCTAAGGCCCCACCCAGATCTCAGGCCCCAAGTGAAAGTACTTTTGGGGGCCCAGGACATGACCTACCCCTGGCCCCCAAGGGTGCTATACCCCTTGGGCCTCTGGCTCCGCATGGGCTCCAGCAGGAAGTCCGGGCGTCGTGGCTGCTTCCTTGCCAAGCGGGCGACATTACTGGGAAGAAACAGGCTGTTCTTCCAGGCTGCCCAGGGCTGCCGGGCGCCTGAGACCCCTGTGGGGTGGGGCTCATGCAGTCCGACCCCTCCAACCTTACGGGGAGACTGAGGGCGGGAGAGGGAAGGCTCTTGCCAAAGGTCAGCAGGTGAGCTGGGTGGGCTTTGGTCACGTGGAACTTGTAGTGATTCCAATGGCCTGAGCCTGATGCCGTGGGGTTGCCTCGCCCACGTCGTTTCATTTGACCTCTGCAGCAACCCCCAGGTGACACAGTTGCTCATCCCACCTCAGGGGGACGCAGGGCCAGGCCCCTGTCAGGGTCAGGCACGGAGGGAGGCGGAGCAGGACTGAGGCCCAGGCTGGCGCCTCTCCCCAGGCTCGGGCAGCACCGGTCACTCAGAGCCAGCGGTGAGGGATGAGGCAGGGGCCAGCTCACAAAAAGTAAGGTTTCTGGGAGGGAGCCCCCTTCCTGGCTGTACGAGACGCTGGGAGACTGGCAGGTGTGGGGCGGGCAGCAGGCTGCCCCACAGCTGTTCCCTTTAACCACACATTCTCCCCTGCTTCCAGAAGGGACAAAGGCTGTGGTCCCTTCGTTGAGGGCCCCACAGTGGGAGCGTCAGGGTCCTACTGGAGAGAGGGGTCTGAGTGGCACAGCCATGACTCTTGGGGCCCAGTGTTCTCCCTCTTGTACAGTCCAAGCTTCGCCCCGGGTGGAAACAAGGAGGAAGAAGAGCTGTGGGCTACTCACAGCTCTAGGAGTTGGGGGTCCCCGGCAGCCAGGGCCAGGCTGCCCGGAGCTCCCTGAGGCCCGCGAGGAGCTCGCAGCCTCTTGGTCTCCAGGGCGGCATCTCCAGCCCCAGCGGCGGCATGGTTGGGAAGGGGGCCTTCGAATGTCACTCTCTTGCCAGGCGTGGTGTACGCGCGGGGCTGGGGCTCTCTGCCTGGGCCCAGCACCTTCTGTTTCCAGAGCATGGCACAGCGATGCACTGCACGGTGGAGACTGTGGACTGCCTGCAACCAGCCCCTGGTCAGGCCACGCCGCGTCCTGCTGCCCCACAAGAAAACGGGACCCCGGGCCCACCTGCACCTGCTGCTGGGCGTGCAGCTCCCGCCGGAAGGCCTTCATGCCGGCTGAGAATCGCAGCAGGCGTGCGACGCCCTCCTGGAGGAGCCGCCGGCGGAAAGCCCGCACTGCCCTCTCCAGCCGCGCTTTCTTTCTCCTCCTCTCCAGCACAAAGCCCAGCCACGCAGCCCACACCTCCAGGGAGAGGAGGAGGTGAGGCCCAGCTCTCCCGCAAGGGCCGTGCCCCCAACCCGCCCTGCCCGGGAGAGGCCGAAGCCCCCGTTACCTTGGCCTGGAGGGAGAAGGACCAGAACCAAAGGGCCCGCACCGTGGCCTGCTGCTCCTGCCTCCTGTTCACCAGCTGTGGGCCAGGAAGACAGGGTTACCAGAAACATTGCCCTCAGGAAGACCTCCTTGACCACACTCTTTAGCTGGGCGCTCCCCTCTCTATACCAGGAAGGGCCCAGCTCTGCCCCCAGGTGGTGGATCCGGGAAGGATCCTTTGGGAAGAACAAACGCGAAGAGCTCTGAGGGAAGGGCACAGGTGAGGGCCACTTGCTGGGCTTGGCGGAGAGAAGCCAGGAAGGCCCCACATTGCAACCCGGAGAGCTGCAGGGAAGCTAGCCCGTGAGGTTTGCTAGCACGACACAGCCCCACGGGGCATTTTATCAAGGCCTTGGTGGAGACTTAAAATGCATTTCATACTACTTTTTGGATCTAACCCTGATGTATGTCTTAATGTGACACTGCAGAAACAGGGCCCTGAAGTGACTTGGCCTTACACAGGTCACACGTGGAAGCAGGCAGTGCCAGGAAGTGACAGTCCCGGAGGAGAGCCTGGGATGAGGCTGAACTAACAGTGTGGGCCCAGGTTGCAGCGGGAAGCGGGGGGCTTCTTAACAGCTCTTACCTGTTGTCTCCACTGGCGGAGGCAGGACCGGCCGAGTGTCTGGGCCAGGAGATGGGTGCCCTGCCTCTGCAGGAGCTGGGGCGAGAGCGTGTGCACAGGGGCTGTGAGCCGAATGCGGTCAGGGCCCCAAGCCCAGACCACCGGGGGCAGCTGTGGTGTGAGGGGCTGTAGGCTGAAGGGAACAAACCCCTCCAGGACAGCAGGA